TGGATTATTTAAGGGTGAATATTACGAGGCCAATAAAATAGTGATTATGAATACCCTAAAATTATGAATACCATATACTTCAACACATTCCAGTTCTTCGCTAACGTTGGTAAAACCAATTTTTAACATAACTGGAATTAGAAGTTCCGATAAACTTAAAATAATTTTTGTATTATTCTTTATTTAATAAAAAAAATTACCTTGATGTAGGAAATTACCTTGATGCTTCAGATGCTCTCTCAGTAAAATATTTTTTCTCGGAATAGTCTATATTTTGCTGGTAAAAGTGCAAATGACCTATAATAGGTCGGGTAATAAAAGTTCTTGTCAGATAAATATGCTGAAAATTAGAATATTTGCTTATCAAAGAAGAATACTCCAAAATTTTGAAAAAGAAATGTCCGCAAATGATTTTAAGTTTCTTTGTATCTTCAAAGTATGTAGATAAACCGTATTATCCAACACAACTTCGCAATACCACCAATAATGTGAAACTGATTTGAACAGTTGTCAAGTGAAAACGATAAAAATAAAATAATTTTAATTATTTTATTTTCATCTTCTTCTTAAAACCAAACGATATAATAATTAATCATTGTACTGAAAAAAGATATAAAAAAAGCTTTTTTCAATTCTTGCTTTTTTTTTAGACGCATATCTTTCATATTTTTATTTTAAACTCTTCAAACAATATTTTTCTTTAAAAAAATATGCTTGGAAATTTTTTTTTGTCAAAAAATACAAATTAAAAACGACCTCAAATAAAACGCAAAAGACCTTAAATTGAATAATTAAGAAAACTCTAATATATTTTGAAAAAAAGGGACGATTTATTAACAACAAAATCACAGCATCACCATTCCAAAAAAAAGATACTCTCACACAAAAACTATTTACATTCTCAAACTATCACTGTGGCAACCACAAAACTCTACTCGTTGCCATCTACCAAGTGGCAAAAAATAAGTAAATTATTTTATAAAAAATACGGTGCGCATAAGCCGAATTAGAACTATTATCATCACAGTTTGAGTTTATGAAATGGTGAAGAACTTGAAATAATTATTAATCTAAGTTCTAAAACTCTCTAAAAAAAGTTCTTTTTTTAAAATGAAAATCTGTCAAATTGACTTAACGTGAGGTTGGTTTTACTCACAGGAAAGCTAACCTTTAACAATTGATTAGGGTCAAGTGGGGTAATTATGACCACGGGATAATTGCAACCAGCGCCATATTCAAAAAATTTGTCCAGACTAAAAATTCAAAAAAGTATGATTTATCAAGTTTTATGTATATATTTTTTTTTCAAGAGCCTTCAAATAGGTGTTAAATAAGCAAAACGACCTATAACTCAACCCATGACATTTCTTTCTTCTTTTGATTATTATTTTCTGTAAATATTTGATATTATTATCAAAAAGTGTACCGTCATAATTACTATATTTTTTTACCAGAATGGGGTGATTATGATAAAGTTTAATATTAACTCAGAATTAATGATTTGGCTGAAGAAAATTACCTAGAACATATATAATAAGAAGCCTCCTCTTTTTCACTCTTTACAGAACACTCATAAAGCCTGTTGCGTTGAAAAGAATAATAATACTAATAACTTTGTCAGCTACAAGCTGAAAGAAAGTGTTGCATTCCACAAATCAGTAATCTTGCTGTGCGTTAGCAGAAAAGTTAGCTTAGAGAATCAAGGAGCCTAACATCCAAATTAAAATTATTTAACAATTAAAGAGATCGGTTAGAGCTAGATACTGCTGACAGGCAGGAACTTCTGCATCTTGTTAATGCTTAAGAAAGTTCTATTTTTAATGTTTTTGAGAATGAACTAGTATCTAAGCTTTATGAAGAAGCATTCTTGCTTATAAAGAAGTTGTTGAACAAACCAAACACAAATGCAGAAACTGTCTATCATTTTTACAGTGTGTAAGGAAGACATCATCTGATAAAGTCGGCTACATTCAATACAACATATGTCAAAAAATACAAAATTAAAAATGACCTAAAATAAAACTCAAAGAGCTTCGAATCAAATAATTGAGAAATTTCTACTATTACGAATCTACTACTACTATAAAAAGGAAGATTTATTATCTCAACAAAATAATCAAAGCATCGCCATTCCAAAAAAAGCCTTACACTCTCTCGAAAAACAAAAACTATTTACATTCCAAGCTGCCGACCGGCCAGTGTAGGGGGCAGGGAACTGCCTTGCATCAGAAAGGTTCTGGGTTCGAATCCCGGGCAAGGCATGGATGTTCTTTCCTTCTCTGTACTATCTATCCTCACTGTGGGAGCGACGTTGGCCCACCTCATATGGTGCCCCTGAAAGAGAGTCAACAAAATCGCCCTGTAAATGCCTGAATTGACGGATGTTAACACAGTGGGAAAAAATGGGCATTGGAAAAAAAAATCCTAACCATCGCCATGGTAGCCACAAAACTCAACTCGTTGCCATCTACTAACTGACATGTAATAAGTACATTATTTTAGAAAAATACGGTGAGCATGAACACTTAAAATCTAACAACATGAGTGTGGGTTCAATCACCTGTTTAAAGAATAAGAGAGAATGGTAAAACACTGGTTATGATCTGACAGTGAGTCAACAACAGCTTTAGGATGGTCATAATTTTGACTATCATGAGTAAACTTCGAGCAACAGCATCATGCTCAAGGATACTAAATACAGTAAATCTCCGTTTTGATAAAATAAACTTCTAAAACTGGTTTTGCTTCATCGCATAACATAAAGCCACTGGGAAAGACAAAACATGATGAAGAAAAAAAAATTTTTTTTTTGCTTTACTAATTGAGTCGTTATATGTTTTTTATTCTTGAGCACGATTTTGTAGTGTTTTTTGATTATTGATTATACTGATTATTTTCTTTTCCCCTCTTACGAAGAACGGTGTTCAGCTAGTTAATAATCTGTACCAGCCTAAGTGTGAAGAGAAACTGGTTTGAAGATTACTTTTTAAACATTCCTTTAAAAAAATATTTATTTAATTACTTTACAGCCAGTCTAAAAATATCTATTATAAAATGGTAAATAGGAAACTGAAACATTAACATAATTTATTTTTTCCCTTGTAAGGTAAGACTCAAATTTGAATGAATATATATTAACATAAAATATTTTACGCAGTTTCATATAAACCCCTTTAACAAAAAATATTTAAATACTCATTCTAAAAATCTTTTAGAAAAATTTAAGCATTTCTTTTCGTTTAATACATTTTAAAACGAACTAATATAAATAGAGCTGTAAAAGGATGTACTACTTAGTGCTGTAATACTTAAGCATAATTTTAGAATTACTGTAAGTTTTTGAAATTTCAAAAATTTCTTCGTGTATATTTTCGCATTTGGCGAAATATATTTGCTACTGACTAGTGGCCTATTGTAGCATGTTTAACTGTTAAAAAAAAAAAAAAAATAAGNTAATTTGTAATTAATTGGATAATTAATTAATTTGCTAATTAATAAATTAATTATTAATTAATTGTTACCTGTTTGTTAATTAATTGTTGATTAATTATTAATTAATTAATTGATTTGCAATTACATACTCCAATTAATTTGAAAAGTTTTTTGGAAGAAAAAAGTTTTAAAAATTTGAAGTAAATTTTTTTTTAAAATTAACCTAACAGGTTTTTCTGAAAAACTACAGATATATAAAATTTTCGAAATCAATTTTGACGATAAATATGCATTATATAGTACGTGAATATACCACAAAATTAATTAGAGTATGAGACAATTGCAATAACTAATAGTCTGCATTGAAGTAATAAAATACCGGTTTCTCTATATATTGAATTACTTTTTATCTCTCACAGGACCTTCTATGGGCCGAAACGAATGATACCCCCTAAAATTACTCCTCATAAGGCATACATCCCAAGAGTTTATTTCAAAAGTGGCGAGTCACTATTCCCTAGTTTCCCTTGTTAGTGCTGTAATACTTAAGCATAATTTTAGAATTACTGCACTGATTACTGTAAGTTTTTGAAATTTCAAAAATTTCTTCGTGTATATTTTCATATTTAGCGAAATATATTTGCTACTGACCAGTGGCCTATTGTAGCATGCTTAACTGTTAAAAAAAAAAAAAATACGAGGCCACCTTACAAAAAAGTTTTAAAAATTGAAAAGGGAAAAATTTTAACGATCAAAAAAACTGTTTACATTAATAATGTAAAGCATTATAAGGTTCATTACTAAAATGAAAAAAAAATTTCAGAAAGAATCGTAAAATAAAGTATTTTTTAGAACATTATAAAATATTCATAACAATTTCATATTTACAAAAAAAAAAATATATTAATAAAATGTGCATAGGTTGCGTTTTGGGTGAAAAAGTGGTGATTGGGTGGCAACTGGCACCTAATACAGTCAAACCCAGCTATAGTGAAATTTCTGTTCACTATAAGCGAGACTTCACTATATCAGTTCCGCAAACAATTTTAACAAATGGCTCCAAACTCTCCCCTTTTATTACATGACATCATTTAAATAAATGGTCAATAAAATGAAATACAAAAATGACTGCAAAATAATACGTAGTAACAAAAATTTGTTAACTTTTATCTTTTATTACTCTTCGTCTTGCGTACAAAAAAAAAATTAGTAATCTTTAACTGATGAGTAACGCCCGAATTCTGATGACATTTGCATTTTTTTGCATTTTTGGACATTCTTTGTCCTTTAGAGCATTTTTTGAGATTTATAGGGCATTTTCTTTAAAATTTTTGGGCGTATTTTGCATTTTAAAGCATTTTTTAAATTTTTTGTTAAATTTTTCCAATTTTCATTATTTTTTATTATTACACTGGCTTCCAAACAATGAAGAAAATTTCTAGGATATTAACAGGTGAAGCAACATCTTTTCAAATTGAAGAAGAATTGTCAGTAAGTGTGACCGTCCTTTTCAAGTACGCACCAATAACATCAGTAGACGTTGAAAGAANATCAGTCGAAGACAAAGAAGTTCCTAATATCCAACATCCTTTCTTGTTTCGGTTCACTATATCCATAAAAAATAAGATCATACGTATGTAGCAAGGCACGGGAGCGAACATTTCGTTCACTATATCCGGGAGTTCACTATATACCGTGTTCACTATAGCGGAGTTAGACTGTATTTTAATCACCGTTTGATATTTAGTAGCCCCGGTAGCGACTGTTAATTTAACCCCAGATCGTTATCATGAAAAGGTCACTGTAATGAGTGAGGGACTGTCTTTAAAATATTTATTTTAATTCAGAATGCTACTTGTTCCTGGAGACCCTCTTCATGTATTTTATGGATGATCCCAAAAATTGAACTTTCGAATCACGTTTTCATTCAATAAGAACCTGTTGGGAAGTTATTGAACAACTTTTATATTTCAGATAGAAATGAAGATCATCTTATTGAATATTATTCTGATCCTTCTTGCCGCTACCGGTAGGTGTCTCCTTTTTTTCTTTCTTTTCTAACATTCCATTCGATTTTACTATCTTTAAACACATTACCAATCGGATTTTTTTCAAATGTGTGTTTCTAAAATGACACAATATTTTCAATGGATACAATCACCTGCACTGATGCGCTATTATCGCCACCGGTCACAGGATATAAATACTGGAGATTGAACTATCAATCGCCATTTTTTTTTCCAACGAAGTTTACGAAGACATAAAACAAAAATATCAGACGATTAAAATATTTCGATGAGTTTTTTTTTCCCAAGTTGAAAATATATTTTTAGATAATATTAAATATAAAATGATTTTCTGATTATCTTTATTTTTTTTTCTTCCGTAACTTTTTTTTTAAATTCTATTTTCAGCGTTTTATTTAATTATTTTGTTTTACGACAGTTTGAGTTTCACACATTTTTATTTTTTGGGATTATTATTTCTCTAAATAACAACATTATAAATCACTTTTTATGTTTGTTCATAAACATTGATTTTTCCGTTGAATTATTGGTTCAAAAACTTAAACCTTAAATTTTATTAGTTGAAAACGTTACATACAATATTTAAAACTTACTGAAGAGGCTTTCGATTCAGAAATTATTTATCATATTTTGATTAATTCTTGAAAAATGTTCGAATAAATTATGCTCAATAATGTTAGATAATATACGAGAACTGCATCAAAAGGAGTTTTTAAAATTAAAAATAGCAACGTAAAGCATTCCCGCAACAGCCAGTTGCGGCTCAGGGAAGTCTTAGAATCAAAGCTCCTCAATTGCGAGGGGATGTTTCCCAGACCGTCGCCAATAGCCCATTGTGCAGCTCTAGTGCGACGTAAATGAACTACAACAACAACTCAATTGCGAGACAAAAAGTATGATTGAGGCAATATGGTGAGCATCGTGCATAGGCACCTTTACTTCCCAGATAAGCTGTACCGAAGCTGGGTTACCTTCAAGCCGTAACTACAATCATCTTGAGATTTTTTTAAGAAGTACGAAAACTATTTAGAAAATTGCTTGAAACTTTTTTAATTATTAAGTTATTGAAATCGGATTTTTCTTATTAGTCTATATTTTTTATTATTAATCATTTTTGTAAAATAACTTTTATATTGCTATAACATTATATTGTTCAAACAAATTTGATGAGTTTGAAGTGTAATGAATGGTTTGAAGAATAAAAACATTTAATAATGATAATTTATATTTATTTACAATTTATACATGACTAGTTTAGTTTAAATGCGGCATCAAATATTTAAGATGCGAATACTCAAAGATCAAATAATAGAACAACATTAAAATGCAATTCTAAAAAGTAAGAATTAAAGTTGTAGTTAAAACAAACTTAAAGTTCATAAATAATTATAAAAACAATTAATGCAGAATATGATGAGTGATGTCACGTTGCTTCAAATTCAGAACCGAATTTAATATTTTCGCTTACCAAACTATTTTTGCTTGCATCTCCTTATTCATGGATCTGATTATGTTCTAAATTATTGAACAGATCACTTTAACTGTAATTTATAACAGTACATTAATGTTATTCGCACAAAAATAATAATTGCAAAACGGTTAATAAGATTAGACCACCCTTTTAAATAACTTCATCTTAAAATGTAGCGTAGAATGACATTATAATAAAAATAATAAAATAAACAATTCTCTTAGTTATAAGCTCTTGAATTAGAAGTGTAATAATAGCAGTACAAGAAAATAACTTTAAATTAGGGATCGAAAAATACTCATAGAAAAACAATACCTTAATGACTTTTATTAATTTTATGCTGATGACTGCCAAAACAGTAAGAAAATGAATGAGGAAAAAATTGGATCCTACCACGTGATTTTCGGCCAATAAAAATTCACGTACAACAATGGAAAATTTTGACACCATAATAAGATTTTAATATATAGTAAGAAAAGTCAAATAATATATATTTACAAATTGTTAATATTTAGTATTGAAATTTTTTATCTTGAATTTTAGCTAGTTATTTTAAATTTTGCTTTAGTTTAAACCATAAGTACTTATATTATATAATAACTTAAGATTCTGGAATAACAATGTCAATAGTTCTTGTTTTCTTATTCCTTCTTGTTATTTAAATTGAGTAAAAAGAGAAAAAAATTATGCCCCTAATAATTATATTTATTTTAAAAAATTTTCACCAAATTACAAAATCATATATATAAATTTAAAAAAATTGCTAATAAACAATTTTGTTTATTTCAATTTCAATAGAATACTTACTTACCTTTTAATTTATTTTTTAAATCATATATCATTTGAAAAAATATTTCCCATTGAAGCAACAACTTAACAATCCAAACTGCATAAATAAATTGCATACAATGTCACACTTTCAAATAAAGCTAATTTTGTTTTAATTGAGTTTCGCGCACCTAAATCAAAAGGTATAGTTTTATTGTTGCCATCTGCATGTTTTCCAGTATATTATTTTTTTAACAAAAATTTGCTTTTTAATTTGTTTAGGTTACAATTTAAAATGATGTTACGGGTATGACTTTTTTATAAATGTCACCCCCACAACAGTTAATTACCAGTGAAAATAATTTTTTTTTAATAGCAGTCGTTGAACAGTCGACCCAATTTTGGGTTTACGACTACTAATGTTCAACTCCGCAATCCAGAAGACAAAGAAACTCCTGGATCAGTACCCCCAGAGGAATTGATTTGTGGATGGGTGAACATGGAGGACTTTGTGACTCGACAGATTTAACATGCATCAGTCTCCATTTACTACACGGGGAAGTTTTAGGCCGGTGGGGATCGAACCCACGACTTCTTGGGCATGGGCCCAGTGCCCTATCAACCAGGCTATTCCGACCCTCCTGGAAAAAAAATATATATTTGGGGAACTCTCATCCATTAATAGGAAGTATGTTATAGTTGACTGATTTTTATATAAGCCGAAAAACGACCAGTTTAAATTACTAGGCCAGTTTTAAATATAAAAAAAGTAGGCATTATTTTTTTAAAGGGATTTTTGCCAATTTACATTATTTTTATCTTTGGTGTATTCATCTTAAAGGCTATTGATAAAATAATTATGTAATATAGTAAATTTTACAAATTTCTATTAAATATTACTGCTGAGTACACAATACTTCATTAACACTTAAAAAGTATTGTGAAGTTCACAATAGTTTGTGAAGTTCACAGTATTTGTAAACTACTTATTAGTTAAGAAGTCAATTAAAGTCAATTAAACCAAAACAAACTTAATAGGAGCATTAAAAGCTATAATAGTTTTATATACAGGATATCTGCTACAGTTTAGATTTTCAAATCCACCAAGAATTTCTCATGACTTACCGAAGTTACTATTTTCTCCGACAAAAACACAACAGTAAATTTAAAAAAGCATTATAATAACATTCATTGAAATGATGGGTGTAACCGAAACTGTTGTACATACATACATATTTATTGAACATATATGTACATCTTACATATTTATTGATTTTAAACTTAATAAAAAAACAGAGTAAAGAAAGAGTTGAAGCAATAAAAAAGCTGAAAAAAATACAAAAGCAAATAATTTTTTTCTTTCTTTTATTATGTAGAATTATATTCTAAAGATACTTTTCTTATTTATCGGAAAGGAAAGAAATACACTTGGTTTTTCTGTTCTCATTTAGGAATAAAAGAAAATTCTACAATGACTAGCTTGCTTCGAATAGAATTTTAAATTGATAAAATAAAAATAAATAACCAAAATTTTGAAATCACAGAAGTTAAAATGATAATTATTCGCTCCAGAAATGATGTTTTTTCCTTCATTTTTTGAAAGAACACCATATTTTTTAAAGAACATGATAAAAACATTTTATATTTTAATAAAATATGACTGTGAGTGGGGATTTTGCTACAAATTCAGACATTCGGAACACCATAAAATTGGGGGGCAGGGGGAATTTCATTTTAAAAATTAGATTTTCGGGCAACCTAAATCCATGACTTTCCGTGATTTTTTTTAAAAAAAATAGTTAAAATCATGACAAATTTTGTTCAATACCGAAATTCATGACTTTCCAGGTGAGCACATACCTTGTATATATAAAAAGTTCAGATGTGTACTTGTACAAATTTANAAAAGGTTAATAAGATCAGAAACCCTTTTAAATAACTTCATCTTAAAATGTAGCGTAGAATGACATTATAATAAAAATAATAAAATAAACAATTCTCTTAGTTATAAGCTCTTGAATTAGAAGTGTAATAATAGCAGTACAAGAAAATAACTTTAAATTAGGGATCGAAAAATACTCATAGAAAAACAATACCTTAATGACTTTTATTAATTTTATGCTGATGACTGCCAAAACAGTATGAAAATGAATGAGAAAAATCTGGATCCTACCACGCGATTTTCCGGTCAATAAAAATGCACGTACAACAGTGGAAAATTGTGACACCATAATAAAATTTTAATATATAGTAAGAAAAGTCAAATAATATATATTTAAAAATTATTAATATTTAGTATTGAAATTTTTTATCTTGAATTTCAGCTAGTTATTTTAAATTTTGCTTTAGTTTAAACTATAAGTAATTATATAATAACTTAAGATTCTGGAATAACAATGTCAATAGTTCTTGTTTTCTTATTCCTTCTTTTTATTTAAATTGAGTTAAAAGAGAAAAAAATATGCCCCTTATAATTATATTTATTTTAAAAATTTTTCACCAAATTACAAAATCATATAAATTTAAAAAAATTGCTAATAAACGATTTTGTTTGTTTCAATTTCAATAAAATACTTACCTTTTAATTTATTTTTTAAATCATATATCAATTGAAAAAAATACTTCCCATTGAAGCAACAACTTAACAAACTGTATACAATGTCACACTTTCAAATAAAGCTAATTTTGTTTTAATTGAGTTTCGCACACCTAAATCAAAAGGTATAGTTTTATTGTTGCCATCTGCATGTTTTCCAGTATATT